CCATAAACGTTACGCGTGCTCGAACGCGAGACCCAATTTCTACGCGATCATTACGCAATCGTACGAGACACGCCGAGTACGCGAATTCATCGTTCGAACGTTTATCGTTGAACACGTGAAATTGAATAATTAAACGTCTCGTTTAAAATCAATTGCACTCGTTTAATGCGTCACTTAGTGTGGAAGAAGCTTTTCGCGAGAAAACGAAGAGAATCGATGGAAATGGAAAAATAAGAAGCAAAAGGATACGAATATATGCAAATATTTCACGATCATCTTCATTACGATTCATTCTCGTTTCTTTCTCCAGACATCGTAGATACTTCTCATCCGATAACTGGATTTTTCAAGTTTCTCAAAAGAAGAAGAAGAATTTAGACACTGTTCTCTCTTGTAAGGATACGTATTAAGTATTTTAAACTTCCTCCAAATAATCGATCTCTTTTCTAATTAAATATTTATTCTCTACGTAATTATAAATAATTTTAGAATTACCCAAAGGATCTTTAAAGAAAGAGAGTTTCAATATTATGTTATTCAATATCCACGATGCTTTTGAGAGACACCCTCTCTAAATATAATTCTAAAATTCGAATCTCCAATCAAGAACACTTTGAAAGATAATTAAAGAAGTCTATTGATCTTCAGATAGGAGAGTTTCGACAGCAGTGATCGAAAGTCTTTTCAGGACCGAATTATTCCTTGGATTGTGAAAAAATGTCTTCTTTATTAGTTTTGAATAATAAAAGAATATTTTTTCAGATGTTTTTGCAGAGGAGATATAATACACTAAATTTAGTACCATCTGACGTATTTATGGCTTGGCTAATTAATGACTTATTAAAATACGATATTGAATATACAAGGTGGTACGTAACCGATGGTACAATTGCGAGCACAGTGATTCTACGAAGAATAACAATATGAAGATATAAAATAGAATTCTTTCATACGACGTTTCATTATCGAGAAAGTCGAGTTTGAGAATTTGACAAATATGCTTAAACTTGCTTAAACTATCCCGACAGGAGTTGAACGGAATGTGAAAATAAATTAAAAACGTGGAATACAATTTTCCTTGTATGATGCTTTCTTTTCGAGAAAGATACATTTGAGAATGTAGCACGCACGCGTACCAAACCAGTTCTTAACGGAATACGTTAAAATATTATTTTCTGGAAAATGACGGCTCGAACGGAAAGATCTCATTTCACAATTTTGACTTATTTTCGCGCGTGTAATGATCTCCTGCTGATCGTTTATTCGTATCCAGTCTGTATCTGGCCAAGTTCAAGTATACTTCGTAAATTTTGCAAACTCGATTTTCTCAGAAACGAAACGTCATATGCGAACATTTTATCCTATACTTTCGACTTCATCCTTCACGTACAATCAGCCAGTTGTATTCAAATCCTATCGCCAGTTTACGAGCCATCCTGTATATAACGTCGATCGTGAAAGGATTAAAATTATCCATAGAAACGATAAAAACGCAAAGCAAACGCTAGAGAACGTTGACTTCCGGCGAACCGTGTAGGCCCACCGACCTCTGGATCGCCCCAGCGTTTCGTCCACTCCTGATAATTACGCTAATGACGCTCGCGAACGTCAGTTAATTAGTCGATGACGCATTTCGATCGTCGTCGAGTCGGCTGTACTCTCCTCGAGTCGCCGCCGTGCTGAATTTGCGCCTCGAAACAAGAAAAAGTTGCTTGACTCGTCCGGTAACCGCTTACATCAACGAATTAAAAATCCACCCGTCTCTAGCGTTCGCGAATATTGTTCCTGGTCTCAGGAAACAGATTGCAATAGCTTGACTCGAGATCGATATCGAGACGCTTTTACACCGTTGATTGTTTTTCGTGATTTACGACGATTCAACGTGCAGTGGTCGAGTATACGTAGGAGAAGATTTGTTATTCGTTGTTCATCGCTGGATCGGTAGATCGAAGTCTTAATCAGCAAAGGGAAGAATTAGTACACGATGATGCTTGTGGAAACGGAGTAATCTGGAAGAAGCAATTAAAGGAAAAAATTCTACATGTTTTTTAGTTGTATACTTGTGCACATATACTTGCATATTCGTATACGTGTACTCAATAATAGATTATCAAAATCTATAAATAGAGTGTAATTATGCTGTTGGGAAGAAGTTGCAGACTCATCTGTTGTTCATCGTTCGTTGGATTGAAATTTGAATCGAGAAATAGAGAAGCATTTGGAAGTGGAGGAACAGAGGAGGAAATTTAAGATTCTCGCCTACGATCGTGTGATGGATTACGTCATTCTGATTTACACTGTTAAGAAAGTGAAAACGCTGCGAAGCTACCTGTTGTTCATTCATCGTTCGACGAGTGCGTACGTTGGAATTTCCATCGACGAAGGGAAGAGTTAGTAGACGTTGATGCTCCTGAAAGTGGAGGGATCCGAAGGAAGTTAAGCGAAGAGATTTATTCTAAGACAGATATTTTCACACGCATGATAAATTATCAAAGGTATCTTGATAATACGGTTCTAAGAACTTGAAGAAATTATAGAAGCTATCTAAGGATTTGGTGAACTGAAATACTCGAAGATTATTAAAAATCTTCTACGTTCTTTTTATAGATCCTGAAACACTTTTTTACCGAATTAACTTTGAACAGATACTTTGTAAGTTTGTAACGTTCCTCGCGAAGATCTACGAATGAGTCGAACGTGCTTGGATAAATAGAGAAGAAGAATTGGAGAACGATCGTTGCATCACGTATCCGTGAGAAAATAAGACCAATTACCGGACTAACAATCGGAGGTTTCATAGATTTGCGACCGGATGCGCCTTGAGGTTCGTGTGGATAATTTTCACCAGGTAATACGGTCCAGAGAAACGCCACTATAATTCCTCTTATGTAAGAGCTGATAGAGGCGAAGCACGTGCTCTCGATCCACTATCCTATCTCGACGTTCCAAGTAATCAACCAAGAAAGGTGATCTCCTAATGAATGATCTTCTTCCACATTAATTCACATGAATATTAAAGGAATGGATAATGAATAAATCTGTGGTACTATTCAGATTGGTTATAAGTCAACTTTCATTGAATTTTTCAGGATTTCGTGTCTAATTTGAAAGAACAGCTTCAGCAAATGCTGAAGAATTAATGAGAGAAAAGATCTTTGGATTTCCAAGAATTCTATATTCATTTTGGAAAAGGAGCTTGTTACAGATATTTTCACAGAATTTCAAAGATTTTCAAGAAACCTTTGGTTTTTAAAAAACTACAGATTCAATTTGGAAGCGACGTATCGCAAATATTTGAATTTTTTTAAAATGCCAAGAATTCTAAAAGATTAATAAAGAGGAGAAATATCTTTAATCTTCAAACTATCGCACCTACGATACCTACGATACTTCGAAAGAGGAAACCTCCAGATATAGCTGTGGATTTCAAAGAATTTCCTATACAATCAATGCAAAAGAAAAATATCCGGACGTATCTTCGTAAATACCGTCATGAACGAATGGATCAATGAGAGAAAGAGGATGATCATCCATAATAAATTATCCGCGATTCTACAATAATTTCTTCCTCCGAGGGAACAGAAGCATGTGAGTAACGCGAGGAATCCGAAGCGGCACGGCGTTCCGCTTGCGTGAATGTATCACGACTGGAAAGCGTCACGTTTGCTTACAGTGATATTACATAATCGGTTGATTGTGGAACGTAAACGGCGACGATTACTCGTGAGATGCGTTGAAATTCGACAAACGTAGCCGTACGGTTATTTATCCACAGTGACTGGACTGTAAATCCTCTGTAAACAACTGTTTTCTTCGTTTAATAATTCCGCCTCTTCAGACACTGCCCTGTCACCTGATTGAATTAATTATGTGATTTATTTGCGTCATTAATTAATTACGTAGACTGCGTCATATGGTCGGCCGATGAAAGGTATTCTTAGAACTCGAAGGAGTCTCAGTTATATATGAAAGAGCAAGACGACAAGTATCGAAGCATAGATTAGCTAGATGCGAAGGATAAGAAGTTGGTGCAAAGGATATCGAGGGTAGATAATTTTCTAGAAAGTTTATAGATATACGTTAAAGCGTAACAGGAAACAATAGAAAATTGCAACTGTAATTTTCTTTCTCTTTTCGATTACAAACATAATTGTAATTGATAGAAGTATAAAATTGCAAATAGACTTTATTCGATTGACTCGAGTGAAGGACGAATTGTTTCTGAAAGACCGAGGTGATTATCGAAGAAATATACAGAAGATAAATCTGTGTGTTTATAAATAACAATTGCCATGAACAAGTCTTCTCGAAGTTTATTATTATTGTAAACAATAAAGATTATTTCCTTGGAATCTTTCCAGGAATTGGCCAGAAACAGCAAAGTACACTATATGATACTTCTATAAAATTGGAAACAAGTAGTCATTGTTTTAAAAATAAGAGCTTGTTGCACTTCCTCGTGAGAATCAACGAAACAGAGGTAGAAATCTATTAACAAAATCCTATTAAAAATCGATCAAAGAAATAGAGATTACCGAGAAGGACTAATTGAAACAAAGAAGAGCTGGAAATCTCGTTTAAAATTCATCTAGCATTAAATTGAAGAATAATTGGTGCATCGACCAGACGAAGAATTTCGTGTAACGGACAAGCAGTGGTATAAAAAAGTGGCACACGCATCGGCTCGCTTTCCAGCTCGCCTTCGTCTCGAGGAAGAGGCCACAACGTGGGTGGACGACGGGGCTACCAGTCGATCCAGGTGTTTCGATTCGACCGCAGCTTGTGATTAAGATAATTACCGTTATCGAATCGCTTGCCAATTAACCGAGGGCCGCGTGGCACGATTCGATCGCCCTGAGGAACGATCATCATGGGCGCGTTCGTCATCGTCGTGACGCGCGGAATAGAGACTGGCTAAAAAAGAGAGAAAGTGTCTCGATGATTACCAGTTATATCGGGGATAATCACTGACCGTCGAAACGTTTTTTATTTCAGTGAATTCTACGGACTCGAAGAAAATCACTAAGACACTGGCAAATGTATCATCTCTTCTCGAGGTTCCTTTAAATTAGACGAGAATTCGCAGAGAATTTTGAATTAAAGAATTCGAATAAAATTCTTAATTAAGGGAAGATTTGAAGGAAGTTGTAGAGGACAATCTTTCGGAATTTTTGGATTTTCTCGCAGGAATTTTTTAAAAGAAGAATATTACACTTTTTGAGGTTGAAGAAAAAGTGTCCAACTAAAAAGACCCTTGAGAAAGAACCTTCTTAATAGAGAATTGTTAATTAAGGGAAGATTTGAAGGAAGTTGTAGAGGACAATCTTTCAGAATTTTTGGATTTTCTCGCAGGAATTTTTTAAAAGAAGAATATTACACTTTTTGAGGTTGAAGAATAAGTGTCCAACTAAAAGGACCCTTGAGAAGAAGCCTTCTTAACAGAGAATTCTTAATTAAGGGAAGATTTGAAAGAAGTTGTAGAGGACAATTTTTCAGAATTTTTGGATTTTCTTGCAGGAATTTTTTAAAAGAAGAATATTACACTTTTTGAGGTTGAAGAAAAAATAACCTTATAGAACCGTATAGAAAACCTTATAGAAAGAGTTGCTATATCTTTGAGGAATTCAAAGAAAAATTCTAAGCAAAATTAGAAGATTCGCCCGAAAGATTTTAGATTTCTCAAGAAGAGTTATCCTTGAAAGTGTTTGAAAAGAAGCTGCGAGTTAATGAAATATTTAAAAAGACGACGTTCCAAAGCAAAAAAAGAAGAAAGGTATGACAAGGTAAAAGGTTCCTTGAATGAAGGCGTGAAAGCCTCCTCCGAGAATTTCCATTGACGCGCGATTCATTAGCATCCAATTCGGGATTCGAAGAACTGGGACACGTCGCTGTTTACGTCCAACCATCGCTCCGCTGCGGAATTGTCCCTCTGACAATACGACAGAACCATGAATCTCTTCAAAGTCAGTATCCACCGTACACCTCTATCGCGTTACACCTTCGAAACAATTTATTTCGGTGAGGCATCAACTATTTCTACATAGAACAATTTAGAAGATATCGCAGGAAGATTTCTTACATTAAATAAATTCTTCGTCGTCGTTGATAATTGATTTAATTAAAGATGCAAAAGACTTACGACAGAATAACGATACCAAAGATAGTGATCTGCTCAAAATCGACACTGGAAGATTGCATGGAACCTGAAGAATGCGACAGGAAGTCCTTAATTCAGAGGAAGATGATGAGGTCAAGGAGTAGAAGACATTCGAGGCGATTCTCTTCAAGCATCGCCGAGCGTCGCTCACCTTCCTCTTCTAGAAGTCCATCGCCTTCGTACTTACTTTCTCAGTCTCAAGAACAGACTCATAATGAAGAGAAATCCGAGGATAATTATGATAACCAGGATTTTGAGAAGGATAAGTTAGGTCAGCTGGAAGTTAAGACTGATAGTTACAAGGAAGTTGATAAAAATGATGAAAAGAAAGAAAACTGTATAGTTGAGAGACTGCAAAATGGTAGCCTTGTTGAATGCGAAGATAACGGGAAAAGTGATTTGAAGTTGGAAGGAAATAAACGAGATAAATCCTTGAGAAGCAACGGGGTTGAGGATCATAAAAGAAGTTCCAAGTGTAACAAGTGCATTAAAGGTCAGAGTAATAGGGAAGAGACTTGTTTGGAGAATTGTTCAGGATACCAGCAGTATTTGAGGCTGCTAGAGGTGCCTCAGATTAACTTGGAATGGGGAGAAGGCAGTGGTGACGATTTGAGCTCTGAATGGGATTCTGATCACACGGATAGGTCAAATGAGAAAAAGACGTCGAAGGTAACGACGGGAAACTGTGTTCTTCCAGATATACTAAATGTTTCTTTCTATTACTGAACAATAAAGTCTCCTTGGAATCGATATTTGGGTTGAAGTTGAAACTTGATTTTAATATTAGTGACGATGGAAGAGGTAAGGGAGCTTTTTGATGAGATTCTCGTTTAATTTTGTTTCAGTCGTCAGGATGGAGAAAACTTAGGAATATAGTTCACTGGACACCTTTTTTCCAAACCTACAAGAAACAACGGTATCCATGGGTAAGTAAGTTATTTCTATTTTTTAAGTTCTTTGAAAGAAATTAAAATACTTCAAAATTGGTATCAGATATTGGTTGAAACATGAAAGTTATCAGTTAATATTAAGAAACTGAAACTAAATAAAATTTACTCGATTCATCAATTTATCTTATGGCCTTTTGCCAGAAAAAAAACTCATAAATTAATATTTTAAATAACAATTCTGATATGAAATTCTACTAGTAAATAGTACAATTAGTGTTAAAAAGTTTATAATACAAAATTTTGCTATTAATTTTAGGTCCAACTAGCGGGTCATCAAGGAAACTTCAGAGCGGGACCCACTCCAGGGACGATTCTAAAGAAACTCTGCCCTCAGGAAGAAGCTTGCTTTCGTCTGTTAATGAACGACGTATTGAGGCCGTACGTTCCAGAGTTCAAAGGTGTTCTAGATGTAAACGATACAGAAGAAGGGAACGTCGAGGAGCATGATGCGGGCGAAACACATCAAAAGGATGGTAATGGTGACAATGTGACTAAGAGGATCGTAGTGTCATCTTACTTGCAGCTGCAAGATCTTCTCGGAGACTTTGAACATCCTTGTGTGATGGATTGCAAAGTTGGAGTCAGGACGTATTTGGAATCGGAACTTGCGAAAGCCAAAGAAAGACCTAAGGTATGATATTAATTTAATATGAATTAACATCGAATAATATTGTAAATAAAGTAAATTTTTTATACTTTACATACTTTTTCTTAACTTTGCTATTCAATATAAATATAAATATTCGATATAATTTTTCTATCTTTTGTTTATTCCACAACTTTTATAAATAAAGCACTTGAAAAACAAGGAAGATATCTGAATGAAAGATATCAATGAAAATATGAAGAAGCGAGGAGAATAGCAGGACCAGGGTTCTTCAATTCTTGAAACTCAATTTCAATTTTTCAAATCTTTAATTTTTCCATGTAGTTACGAAAAGACATGTACGAGAAAATGATACAAGTGGACCCATCTGCACCAAGTGCTGAGGAACGTCGAGTGCAAGGAGTCACAAAACCAAGATACATGGTCTGGCGTGAAACGATTTCCAGTACAGCTACGTTAGGCTTCCGCGTAGAAGGTATTAAACTTGCTCATGGAGGTTCGTCGAAAGACTTCAAAACGACGAGGACTCGGGAACAGGTTTGTCGATAGCTTACCAATGAATCAAGTTGATAGATCATAATAGTAATCTGATTTTAAAATCGGCTTTTTAATTAATTAGGTTACGGAGGCGCTGAGACGTTTCGTGGAAGGCTATCAACACGCTGTACCCAAGTATATCCAACGTCTAAAGGCGATTAGAACTACGCTGAAAGCATCGCCGTTCTTTGCCTCGCATGAAGTTGTCGGGTCTAGCTTGTTGTTCGTTCACGATACCAAAAATGCTGGCATTTGGATGATTGATTTTGCTAAAACGTTACCTCTACCACAACATTTGCCAAGGATTTGTCACGATGCCGAGTGGAAAGTCGGAAATCATGAAGATGGATACTTGATAGGTGTGAACAATCTAATAGACATATTCCAAGATATATGGAACTCCGAGGGAACATAATTATATGGACCATTTCTTTTGGAAATAAGTTGACACTACAGCGAAGAGGATATTGAGTTAAACGAACATCATGCACTCTTAACTTTGTGAACATAAATGCACCTTTTGTTCAGGTGCTTTTTCTTCTGTATCTTTTTCTATGAATCTATACTTCGTATTTCGTGAAATTTTGTACATAGATCAATGACTTTTGTAATGATGTCTTTCGTATGATATCCTCTTACCAGAAAACGGACCAAAGACGCGGTGGCTATTGCTGCCTAGGTATTTCATAATTAAACTTTCCTACAACGTAGAGACGATGCACAAAGAGAACTTGTAAAATATAATTTAAATGATACCGTTATGTAATAAGTTTTATTTATGTATTACATGCAATGCTGCAAGAATCTTCTTGATACAAGAGAACGAAGAAACGGTGGTTTTGTATTTAAAATCGTACCATGCATTTGTAAATAATTCGACACTTAATATAAAAAAATCTTCACGACCGCGTGTGTTTTCATTTTAAATGTCCTGATATAGCATTGATCCCGATCAACCTGTCGAAAAAACTGCACGATTTTCTTTTTTTCATTTTACCGGACCTAAAATATAGTACATAACATAACGCAATTCTATGTATAAGCTTTACTAATCTATTACGCTTTTCGTTTCTTCTTCATTTTTTACGTTTTGTTTTTATACATATAAATCGTGTGTTCGTCAGAAAATTCAGAATTATAAGAGATTAAAATAAGTTGGAACGAGGATAAATGAAAAAAGACAGCGACATCAATTTTGTCAAGGTGTACTGTAGGTGTTATTTCTCGGTGGTTGCGTTTGAATAGTCTGCTGTTGATTTCCCGTCGATTGAGACGAAGTTATGGTAGTTGGAGCAATAACTCGCGCGTAGACTGCTGCACCCGTAGTTTTCAATCCGGCAGGAGTCGGTATCACCTTCAAACCGTGCAACGTTTTGATGTTGAGTAACTGACTCGGTAAAATGATAGGTTGCTGCTGTGTCTGTTGCGATGATTGTTGCTTTCCAAGTACTACGCTTCCACCGCTGCTCACTCCAACTCCTACGTTTTTGTTACCACTTGCTAAAACTATTGGCTTGCCAGCCAACTGAGCTGTCACCATCCGAACGGTTTGTGCTTGCTGTGTCTGTTGTTGTTGCTGCGTACTGGCTATGATCTTCGACTGACCTGAAGAAGTCTGCGCTTGCGATACTACCTAAACACCACATTGAAAATGTTCCATAAAAATTTAATTTAGAATTAAAATTAGAAATTATAAAAATTTAAATTGAGAGTATACCTGATACTGAGTTTGTATGACCTGCTTCCCTTGTCTGTTGAGTTGATTAGCGTGGCCAGTTGTGGTCGCCAACTTCAATCCTTTCTGAGCAAGGAGATTTTCTACCGAGATAAGTTGGCCACTACCAGAACTGGTTAGAACCTTGGCCAATATCTTCTGCTGTTGTTGCTGATGCGGTGACTGTTGAATCTGTACTGCGATTGGTTTCCCTCCTATCTGTGCAATTATGCGTTGCATACCAGATGTTTGTAACGATTGTTGTTGATTGGTAACAACTCTCTGTTGGATTTGTTGTTGCTGTTGTTGTTGCTGCTAAAGTTACATGAATATATTAAATCGTTAAAGCTATTAATAGTCATTAAAATAAAAAATGATGACCTACTTGAACAATTCGTACCTTTAATTGTTGCTGTTGTATTTGTTGTGATTGATTACTGGATGGCGATGATTGTTTAATAAATATTGTCTGACCCTGAAGTCCATGACTCGTAAGAAGCGACTTGATCTGTCCAGAACTGACCAATTTTATTTGAGAAGCTAACAATGTCTTTCCAGGTAGTACATGTTGTTGTTGAGATTGTTGCTGTTTTATATTAGCAGTTTGCAAGATACTTTTTCCCGCTTGATTAGTCACTATTGTTTGTTGTTGTTGTTGTGTTTGTTGCGATTGTTGTTGTTGTTGTTGTTGACTTGGTACTTTAGTAGGAGGCAATATAGTGGTTAAATTGGTGGTTACATTTGTTACATTAGAAGCACTGCTGGCTACTACAGG